GTTTGCTCCAGTTTAGATGCTGTGAGAAAGCAGGAGCGACTCTGTGATGATCTGTTTTAATTGCCCTGTGCTCCCCCTGTTGGTGAGGTAGGGATTCCCACAGTAGGGTTGTGTCATGACTGAATGTCCTATAGTGGACCGATGATATTGACAGATATTCACTAATTACACATACTCACAGCCTGGGGGAGGAGGACCTCACACGCTACATGGGCCACACGGAGGTGTCACCTGGGAACCGAGTGAACCTCCAGGGGCTGTGGGAGACAGGCTTTGTAGTATCAAGAGATTGAGGTCCCCCTCGTTCCCTCAGGAAGATGTGATGTGATTGGCTTGTTTCAATCATTCCACAGGCTGGCAAGAAGGTGAAACCTGCTCCTTGGGGACAAGGAGTAGCTGTATCTGATCCACTTGATAAGGAGGGTTGTTTAGCTGGAGGACCTTCTCTGTGGGAGTAGAGGGGAGGAGAACCATGGTAAGGCCATTTGAGGCCCTCTCTGTTTCCCCTGGTTATCAAAGCAGCACATAATATTGGGTCCTAATTTTAGGACTTACGCCACAGTATCTTAATGAATCTTATCTACAGGGAGTGGCGATTAGAACAAGAATAGGGTTATAATTGGTACAGAAGTAGCAGTCACTCCTTTTAGCCAAGAGAGGAGGGGATGTTTAGTATTTTTGCACTGTGACTTTGCCTTTGTCTGTGCTTGGGCAAAATTATGCAGTGGCCTTGCTCCGTCTCATTTTATCGTGGTCTCAGAGTGACCTCGTCAGGTTGGTATAATGTCTGATGGGAGAATCACATAACACAGCTCTGAGAGCAAGACCAGCTCTTTTTTTTCTTTCTCATTTGGAAGGACCTGATGGTAGTGGGAGACTAGGTTAGATGGGTTGATCAGAGAAACTTTTCTGAAGGAGAGACCTCAAATCTTGGCCTTTACTGCTACTAAGAAACCATCCACATACAGAAGGACTGAGGAGGGTGGAGACAAGGGAGGAAGAGGGACAACTTGTGGAGGGTGTTCCTGTCAGAGGGAAACAGCAAGTGTGAAGAAAGAAACACCTCATTACACCTGAGAGATGTGTTTAGAAAACCATCAGGAGTGTGGCTCTTTGCTTCAGTGACTCTCAGGGGGTTGGGGGAGGGGAGAACCAGAATCTCGAAACATGGGGAATCAAATTCTGGAAAGCCTGCGGGGGATCATGGTACGGTAGTCCTCCAAGATGATTGTCCCTCATCCTCACCATCCTCTCACAGGTTTAGTTCCATTATGTAGGCTTCGTGTGGAAAATCCAATACTAACTGATATTTTGACATGACCCTATATGTTATACAACACAATTACTTGTCCAGAAAGGTTTTACCACCATCCAGGGAGATAGGTGGAATTGTTGGCCGGTAAATGGTCTCTCGGTGGCAGAAGATCAGTTATCCTAGATATAACTTTCTTTGCTCTCTTGAAGTGATTTTCTTCCAGACCATCTAATATACAACATATTTGAGCTAGGTCTCCATTTCCATTTTATAGTGAAGGGGTCCTAGTATATGGTTTTATCATTCCATCCAGCTGTGCATATCCAGTTGCTGTATTTAAACACTAGTTGGTTTGAAGACACCGTTGTTACCAATTGTAAATTTAGCATATTAACACAAGAAAATATTCACTATGACAAACACCCCAGACAGCAGAGAACAGTGGTTATAAGCATGGACGCTAGAGCCAGACTTCCTAGGTCCAATTACAGCTCTACCACGTTCTAGTTATGTCACTGTGGACAAGTTACTTAGCGCGTGTGTTTCAGTTTGCACATCTGTGAAGGGATAATAATGGTACCCACCTTGAAAGTTTGTTGTCGAGATTAAAATGTATATTTAGTTTTCAGACCTGGCTCATGATAAGCACTGTGTAAGTGTCACCTTTGTAATAATCATGGTGACAGTGTATCAGAAAAGAAAAAAAGTAATTAACACCATATTCTTTGGGTCATTGAGTTAGTGAAGGACTAACCAGTATATATAAGGATTCACAGATCTTACTGAGGAAAGATTTCTCTGACTTACGGTTATATGCAGGGCCTCTACTCTTGATACAAGGGCGGTCGTATAAGGGACCAGTCTTTGGCAATGTCTGAAAGTACACATGTAATTTAAAGTATTTTTTCCTCTCTGCCTGATATGTCTGATACATCCAGGCATACAGTGGATAAGGGTTTTAATATACTATGTGCCAGAAATTTTGGACTTTACCTGAAGAATGCACTAGGAGTCTCAGATCTTTAATTGAGTCAACTGTATTTAGTGTTACTGAAATAAGTGTGATAACAGCTTGATCATGCAGAACTTGACATGAAGAAAACACCTGCCTGGTGTTAATAAGTTACATGAATTTCAGACAATAGAAAACCAAAGAAAATTACCACTACGCCTATCTTGATAAAGTACCAACAGAGCTCTCTATTCACTTCCCTATATTCAGAAGTTTATTTGAATTACTATGAAATGTTAACAAAAAATCACTTGCATTATGGCCTCATGGCAGGTGAGGAGTTTTAAAATATAGCTGCTTCTTTATATGTACTGGCAGATTTATTAAGGCAAAACAAAAGAAAAAAGAAGAAAAAAATAAATATTTGTTTTGTCCCGGATATTCATTACAACCAACTAGAGTGATCTGAGAATGAATTTCAAGTATCTTAATAGGCCTGGATGTATCAGACATTAATTTTAACACAACACATACCTTTTCTCTCAAGGTTCAGAACCTCAGTAGAAAAATGTTGAAAATTTCTATCAATTGCCATTTGTTTTTTGTCTAAGAGAAAATCTTTAAAAAATCAAAAACATTATTACAAACAAAGCTGAAAAACTATGGCTTCTTTTTGCTGTGACCATAAGAGCATTTAACCCCCAGCAGATTGAGAGCGTCATTAAGTAAAAAAGATTATTAATGTTTTGATGTCAAATTTATGCAAGATTTGTAAAACCCCAAAATCATATGCACTGAATTTAGGGAATACATTCTAGTTAGTGTTTTGGTTTGCTTGTGTAGCACACATATAACAAACTCTTGTTAGATTGCCTTCTATTTCTAGTGAACATGTTTATGCATAATTTAGGAAGCAAGCTTTGACTTGTTTCCTTTCTAGTTTCATTTTGGTTTTGTTTACTTAAAAAAAAATTGGGGGATCTACACCAAAATGTAGTTAATATTAATGTATAGTCAACATTTAGTTATCTGTAATCAATTGGTGCGAAGAAAATATGGATAATTGAAATCTATAGTACTGCAAAAATTTAATTTGCTCCTCTGTACTTAAACTTACATTGCATCCAACTATTGGCCAGACCTGCCAGCCAATAAGCCAACTAAAGATATTTGAATTTTCATTCCTTTCACCCTTTCAAATGTCTATATAACCTAAAGCACATGAATAGCACTTTCCAGTTTATAAGCACTTTCACATATATTATCACTTTTGATCTTCCCAGTATCTTTATGGGGAAGGAATGTTATTGAATTATTATTATCTTCACTTTAGAGATGAATAAATTAGGAATTAAGCATCACGCTCTTAAGTAAATGCAGGTAATTGGCCCTAGAAAAATTGTCTGGAATTTCCAGCAGTACTAAATTTGTGGCATTGAACTGAGAAGCCTCCGGCCTTTCTCCACAACCACCTCCCCAGTCAGCCTGTCTCCTCACTGTACCATGTCCACCTCATTCTCATCACTGTTTCTGACCTTTGAATCTTTGTCTTCACTTCTCTCACTCTTTCTGTGCACTGCTGTCTGAAATGTCCCTGCTGTTTTGGAATATCCAAATGCTACCCTTCTTTCAAGGTCCAGAAAAAGTTCTACCTCCTCCAGAAAGTCTTCTAACTCCCACTATTCTTGTTTAACTAACACAACATTTGCAGGGATTGGTGCTTACATTCTTAAGTGTTTCATTTATGTCTGAATTCTCCTACTAGACAATAAGCTCCGGAGAATCAAGTCTTATACTGCTTTGAAACTCACAGCCCTCTTGCATGGGACATATTTGTAGTAAATTCATGATAAATATTTGGCTATTATTTAATCTGCCCAGCGGAGCCATTGCTGAACCATAGATTGTCTTACTGTATTTGTATTCCAACCATATGACTTGTAATTTAGCCTGTCTACTTACTATAGTTGAGTTCAGCATGGTCTTTTCAGTATGTTCATATACCACTTGACCCGAGTATCAATTTCTTTTTTTTTTTTTTTTTGTGAGGAAGATCAGCCCTGAGCTAACATCCATGCTAATCCTCCTCTTTTTGCTGAGGAAGACCGGCTCTGAGCTAACATCTATTGCCAAACCTCCTCCTTTTTTTTTTCCCCCAAAAGCCCCAGTAGATAGTTGTATGTCATAGCTGCACATCCTTCTAGTTGCTGTATGTGGGACGCGGCCTCAGCATGGCCGGAGAGGCGGTGTGTCGGAGCGCGCCCAGGATCCGAACCCGGGCCGCCGGTAGTGGAGCTCGCACACTTAACCGCTAAGCCACGGGGCCGGCTCCCGAGTATGGATTTCTAATGGCAGTGAAGCCCAGGCTTGTGGCCTTCGGGATTGAATCAGCTACACATGCCTGATGGATTCCCTGAATGGAACAGGCTTTTGGCCCATATGTCAGTATTGAGAACAGGAACAGGAAACGGGCAGTGATTGCTTTTCTGTAGAATGCCATTAGCATCACCCATTCTACTGGTCATAATTTCTCAGCAGATCGGCGATATCTGTCAATGGTAGTTCCTGTGGTGCAATGTATGAAAATGCATCCCGTTATTCATTATACATGACGCTGATCGAGCATATTGTCATTACAAATTTAATTTTTAAGAAAGAAATCTCCATGTGGAGATGACACACTTGAGGGTCACTATGTTAAAAAACAAGAGGATGGTACTGTGTGACAATTCGATTCTTCTGGAATGTAAGTATTCTGTTTAAACAAATAACTGCTTTTGTTCATATTTTAAGGAGAATTTGGAGAAGTCTGCAGTGGGCGTTTGAAGACACCAGGGAAAAGGGAGATCCCGGTTGCCATCAAAACTTTGAAAGGTGGCCACATGGACCGGCAAAGACGAGATTTTCTGAGAGAAGCTAGTATCATGGGTCAGTTTGACCATCCAAATATCATTCGCCTAGAAGGTGTTGTCACAAAAAGTAAGTCACTGATTTTCTTCATTGCTTGTTTTATATATCTATCTCAGTTCCTTAAAAAAAAGCTTCATAGCAGTAGAACAGCCATTCAGGTGATAGCTTCGTTCAGTGTCATCTTCTGATATCACCCCTCAGAGGCTATACTAGGCTGATATTAGGCTATGACATTATCAGAGTTTGCATTGGTCACCAAACAGCTTTGAAATGGTATTTATTACCTGTAAATCATTTGCTAATTTAACTTGAAGTAATGAATCAAGAGTAAAGGGTTATCTATTCTTTTCTAATCTCCATAAGCTATTCACTCCTAAAGCTGCCTAAATGTCAATGTTAATAGAAGAAATAGTTTAAATATTTCGAGTCATTAAAGTAAAATACTTCCGTTTGGAAGTAAATTTCATATACAAATAGAGAATGCTTTATCTGAAGTAAAGCTTGTAAACAAAAAGTTCTGTGTGGAACCCATGTGCATAAATGCCATTAGAACTAAATTATTTTAATTTATATAAAATGAAGAAAAGAATTACAATTTCTGAAATAAAAATCCTGTTTTTATAGAAATACTGGGATCAAAGCCATTCCTTTGAAAAGAATTTTCTTAAAAATCCAAAATTAATCCTATATTCTAAGAAGTAGATTGCTATATATTCACTTTTATTTGAATAATGATAGGGCATAAAGCTTAACTGTATTTCTCCTTAATTTCTTCACTAATGAATTATAACATGTAAAATCCAGTACAGAATGGCATTAAAAAACTCATAAAAATCATTTAAATCTTTGAGAGGCGTTTTTCTTTCATAAAACTTCAATTCCATTTAAATGGTTTTAAATGGAATTTAAGTTTTATGTCATATTTGGAAGCAGGAAAGTATAAACGCTTACGATAAACATGGAAATTCCTAAGGCCTTCCCACGAGGCACTGGCCAACACACTGCTCAAGAGGAGCGGAAGACTACTGATGGTCGTGATAGTTTGGAAGACACAATAGAGTGATTTTGATGAGCGCTGTTGCCTTAGTGGCCTTAATGGGGCTTCCAGCATTCATGCCCTTGTGTTATTCTCTCCCTCGCTGATTCTGGGCTTGTCCACGTGACAGCCTTGGCCAATGGGACATTAGCACGTGTGATGCGAGTGGAAGCACCTTAAGTGTTTTCACACTGGAGCTTGGCCTCTTGCAACACCCCTTCCTGTCCCCAGCCTCCAGTGCTGAGCAAAGCCAATCCTTGTGGCGAGGCCACACGCAGTACTGCAAAGAGCAGGAGAACAGAGGCTCTCCAGTCGACTTCTCCGTCTGAGCTCCCAGCAGTCAGTCAGCACTCAATGCGAGCCTTGTGATGAGCCATCTCCATCCAGTCAACTTATAAAGTCATAAGAGATAATATAAAGTGGTGGTTGTTCTAAGTCACTAAGTTTTGGATGGTTTATTACACAGCAATAGATGAACAGATGGAGTCCAGTTAGAATTCTGCTCTTGCCACTTAAGACTGTTGCAGCTTTGGGTAAATTATTTAACATCTCTGTCCATTACTTCCACATCTGTAAAATGGGGCCAAAATAATTCTGACTCAGTAGGAATACTGTAAGGATTACATTTGTAAATGTATACAGCATTTAGCGTAGTGTGTGGCTCAGAAAAAGCCCCATTAAGTGGTAGCCATCATTGGTGTTGTGTGCCGGGCACTTTACACAGGCATTTACCATTTCACTCCACAGCAGCTCTTATCAGTATCATTATCCACTGAAACTCAGACAGGTTAATTCACCTGCGTGAGGACCTCTGACCCGTCGTAATGGCGTAGCTGTGTTCAAACTGAGTCTGTCTGCCTCTAAAATCCAGGGCTGGTTGGTTTGCTTGCTTTCACTATTTCACAGTGAATACATTGTAGTTTAGTTTATACTTTAATTATCTTATCTGAGTTAAATAACATTAAATAAATAATAATCTGAATGAAATAACATAATATTACTTTTTAAAATAAGGAAAATATTTAGGAGAGTGAAATAAATTCCTCTAAAATGTAAAATTTGGAAAGATCCAGCTATGCCACAATACCCAGTAAAGGTTATAATCTAAAAGAGAGAGAAGAAATAGGACGGTAATTATTTCTTTTATAGTTTCTGACTTCCTTGTCATTAAATTAGCATGAACATTTCAAGTTATTCCTTCTGTTTTATGTCTCTCTGGAAGGAAAAAGATCATTTTAAAGTCGCATTATGGATCTTTGCAAAGCATTTAAAATAACAATTTAAGTATGATATTGAAGTCCTTTTATGTGTATTTATGCATGAAATATCTGGAAATAAGTGTCCAACAATAAATACAAAACTTAAAAAGGATCAGATCTTTATTTTATCCCTTTGATAAATCACATTATGTGAATTTTTCATGTATTCTTATGTGTTTTATTCACATATTATCACCCACATATCAAATATATATAAATTTATGTGTGTGTATATATGTATATAAATTGAAGTATAAGAAAATGGCAAAAACTTTTAGCTCTGTAAAGTAGTAGGAATTATTTATCCTAAATCAAGTGAATAGGTTTAATAAGAGAGTCTGTGGCACTTGTCTGCCTGTTTGAAATACTCATTTTATTTCATATAAACGTTCAACAACAAACACAGTGATTGCTTAACATCTCTAACAATCTTGTCTAAAAATGAGACCAGAGACCTTTACATAGCCAAATTTGTATGATCCCTAAGTCAAGGGTTTTTTTCCATTTCAAGAAAAAGAAAGAGGGGGGGGGGGGAAGAAAAGAAGAGAAAGGACACATTCAGTATGCTTTTGAGTGGCAATAACCATCACAGTTTTAATGTGGAGGAGAGCCCCATAAAAGGGTGTTGTGGTGCTGCTGAGGTGGGTGTTGGAGACACAGAAAGGAATAATTCCTGCAAAGATAAGTGGACATATTTACACTGTTATCTTCTTGCTCAAGTGCTATGGGATTTTTAGGAGAAAGGCAATAAATAAATGAATGCCTCGTTCCCATAAACACAGGATAATTGTTCCAAGATTGCCCTTAAGTAGCTAAGAGATAGCTAGCAATTAATGCTCCCTAAGGACTACCCTATTGCATAAAAGATAATACTGACAAAGATGAAGATGCAATATGGGTTTATCCGCTCGTGTTAGCAGAGCATCCTGGGTTCTGAGAAATAAATGCACAGACTCTCAATTGAAAGTAATGAAAAATTATAGATCAAAATCTTCATCAGATCCTTTTATAAGTTCTTAATATGCATCCTTTTTTATCTTACTATATAGGTTTTATCTCTGAGAGAACACTTTTGCTCTTTCATATTTGGGCATATAACCACTTTTATTTCAAACTTGAAAGTTAAATGATTAAAAGCTGTATTATATAAAAAGTGTGTCTGATAAAAGTTGAGCCTGTTTATTTGGTACGCATCACAATTTCATTAACCTGTTAAGATACAACTGATATAAAAAGAGATTAACCAGGCTCAACCATATACTTAGCACAAAGTTTTTCTCCAAGAAGCAGACAGAAGCCATCAGTTAGAGAACAGATGCATAGCCATTAGTAGCATGAACAGTAGCAATTTGTAACAGGTAATGTATCCACCAGTGTCATTAACTACATAACCAGAAAAGAAAGTGCTACCCTTCTATAAAAAGATGAGAACTGTGGTTAAGTAATGAGGAAATACAGTGCAATAACCACACTCTAGTTAGAATTCATGGTGATGGGAGAACCAAAAGGAGAAATAATGAAGTGCCTATCTCCCAGCTCAGTAGGTAAGAACTGAATTTAGATACACTGGCCATATTTCAAATGAATCGTAAGTCCAGTAAGGAGTAATAGAGCCATCAGGATAGCAAACAAATCCCAAACATGACTTCATTTCCTCACGCACGTTCCTAAAGTCCCCGTAGGACAGTCTAGAAGCTGTAAGAAAAAGTGCTGGGCCTCCTCAAACCCTCCTTAAATACTCTAGAATGTTGTGGGTTCCTTCTAGACAGTTTTGAGGGGTCCATGTGGAATCTAAATCAGAGAGTAGATTCCAGGCAGTGAAATATGTTGTGCAGTGAGCACACAAAAACTCCCTTTCTGCTCCCAGAGTTTCATTCTACTTGTCCAGTCATGCGTTCCCCAAGATGGCGACTGTCATTGTTGCCGCCAGTATGACGTCTGCCTCTCCACCTGGTTGCATATCTTGCCACTAGCCACAGGGTCTTGGGCAAGTCACTCAATATCTTTAGGCCTCAATTTTTCCCATTGCACAAAAGATTGAAAAGTGCAGATTGGGCTAGAAAACAGTAAAGTCACATCTCACCCCAATATTTTTGTATTTTATTCTTTTGCCAAAAGAAGAGAGTGATGAGATGGTGGTGAGGAAAAAGTGTGCCAGTGATAACTTATCACCCACCTGCAACTTTATTATAAGTTCAGGTTCATATCAGTGATCTAAGAAGATAGGTTTGGGAAGAAACAAAAATGCCTTCACTAAGTTTATCTTACAGTCTGTAAAGCAGGGAGGGATAGGTAAAATTTTCCTGCAGGCATGATCAGGGTTTGGGTCCATGGACTATACATGGTAGGTGTCAAATATTCTGCAAAACTGAGCCTAATAAAATAAATTAGATTGTTTTTTCTGGAATTCAGCTATTCTGCTAGCTTAAGTAGGGTAAGAGTTTTGTTTTGTTTTGTTTTCCGAGAAACAGTTACTGAGCTCCACCAGCAGTCAGGCACTATTGCTGACTAAAACCTGGAGCCAGAGAAGGAGTGCTCAGTGCCCTGAGCAGCTCATGTGTTGGCCAGTCCACTGGGGGCAGCACACATGTAGGCCAGTATTTCCCAGTGCGGTGTGGCGGGTGCTAGTTTGTATACAGTTATTCATTCATTCATTCATTCATTCATTCATTTAGTGAATGTTTATTGGGTGCCCGCTCTTCTAGTCACTGGTAGTATCATAGTGAAAAAAATAGAACTTCTACCTACAGGAGGAAACAGAAAGAAATATAAAC